GCCTTCGTCAATGGGATTAGAGCCTTTATGGAGGAGAACGGGCTTGCCTTTTCCACCACATGAGAACACCTTCTAAGAGTGACCTAAAAACCAAATGTGGTGTGAGTTTTTTTCAGCCATAAAGAAGAATGAAATTATGTTGTTTGTAGGTAACTGTGGAACTGGAGAACTGCATGTTAAGTGAAGTAAGCCAGACTCAAAAGGTCAAAGGTTGCATGTTTTCGCTCATATGTGGACACCAGATCTGTAAGTTAAATGTACACACAAATGCATATGATTATATATATATAGTGAGAAAGATAACAAGGTTGTATTAGTGGGTCGTCTGAAGAGACTATCAGAGGCAAAAGCAGGAAAGAAAATGTTAGACAGTGAAAAATACTGAAACATCACATCACCATAAGCTGTTGAATATTAGGAGAGCACAGTGATAAAGAGTAATTAATGGAGAGTTAATTTGATTAAAACACCATATGTCTGAAATGCCAAGGTGAAACACTCTTGAACTAAAAATATACACGTTAAAAATGAAGGACAGGAAGGTAAAAACAGGTCTCTTCCAGACGTGGGTACCAGTGGGAGGGAGGAGAGCATAAGGAAAGGGGCGATGAAGGTAAATATGGTGTGTTTTGTATTCGTATATGAAAATAGAATGAAACCTGTTGAAATTGTTCTAAGGGGAGAGTGAGAAGGAAGAATGTTAGAGAGGGTGAATTTAATTAAGATACAATGTAAGCACATATATAAATATAGCAACATATAACCTTGTATAACTATTATATACTAATAATAATTTTAAAAGAATTATGTGAAAACCATCTAAGACTTCATCTAAAAACTCACCAAATCTACCAGTACCTTAATCTGGGACTTCCTAACCTCCCAGAACCATTGGAAATAAATTTCTGTTTTTTATAAGATACTCCATGTATCATATTTTGTTATAGCAGTCTGAACGCACAAAGATACTAGTGTGTACATATGTTATTTTTAATAAAAAATAACAAGTATGGATGAGGATGTGGAGAAATTGGAACCCTTATGCTTTGCTGGTGATAATACAAAATGGTGGGACCACAGTGAAAATCAGTTTTGCACTTACTCAAAAAGCTAAACATAGAATTACCATATAATCCCGAAATACCATGCCTTGGTATCTACCCAAAAGAACTAAAAACAGAAACTCAAAGACTTGTTTACCAATATTCATACCAGCATTGTTCCCAAGAGTCAGATGATAGAAACAAGCTAAGTGCCCATTAGCAGATGAATGAATAAATAAAATGTGGTTTAGACATACAATAGAATATTATTCAGCAATGATATGAAATAAAGTTCTGATATGTGCTGCAACATGGATGAACCTTGAAGACATTGTGGTCTGTGAAATAAGCTTCCACAAAAAGACAAATATTAGATGGCTTCACTTATTGAGCGCTATAATTTAGATCTTGAATATTCCTTCAAACACCTATGCATTGAAAGCTTGGTCCCCAAGCTGTGTGGCACTATTGGAAGGTGGTGGGACCTTTAAGGGGTGGGTCCTATGGGAGAAAGTTAGGTCACTGGGGGCATGGCCTTGAAGGGGACATAGGGACCCCAGTCCCTTTCTCTTTCTCTTTGCTTCCCAGATGCCATGAGTTGAGCAGGCCTCCTCCACCAGGTACTTCCACCATAGGCCCAAAGCAACTGAGCCAAGTGACCATGGACAGAAACTAAGAGCCAAAATAACCTTTCTTCCTTATAAGTTGATTTTTTTTAGGTATTTTTTCACAGCAATTGAAAGCTAACTAACACAGGTACCTAGATAGAATAGGCAAACTCATACAAATAGAAAATAGAATAGAGGTTACAAGAGTTGAGGGAAAGTGGGAATGAGGACTTACTGCTTATGTTTACAAGGTTTTGTTTAAGGTAATGATACTAGAAATTGATACTGGTGATGGTGGAACAATATTGTGGATGCAATTAATGACACTGAACTGTAGACTTAAAAAGGGTTCAATGGGCAAAGTGAATATTATATTTATTTTATCACGATTAAAAATTTTCAAAAAATAGCCAGGTGCTGTTGGCGCATGCTTATAAACCTAGATACTTGGGAGACTGAGATTGGGAGGATCATGATTTCAGGCCAACCCAGGCAAGTAATTTGTGAGACCCACCCCCCACCCATCTCCAAACTAATCAGAGCAAAATAGACTGGAGATGTGGCTCCAGTGATAGAGTGCCTGCTTTGCAAACGTGAAGCCCTGAGTTCAAAACCCAGTCCCACGAAAAAAAATTAATTAATGAATTAAAATTTTAAAAATCAGCGAGAGCAAAAGCCACAATACTTTCTAAGACCCAGGAGTAAAACTAGAAAAGCGTAATTTCTGAGAAATCCTTTGGTGAGAACAAGACTCAAGGGCAGTTCAGGTTCAAGTGTAGGAGAAGGAGTTCCCCACGCGGTACTGAGGATGGAACCCAAGGTTTCATCCATGCTAGGCAAGTGCTTCTACCACTAAACTACATCCCCAGCTGCTCCCCCAATCACATCTACCAACTAAGAATGTAAAATGAACAGTTTCACTGTTCTAAATAAAAAAGCAATCCAGGAATTTAATTGGCTAAATACAATTTGGGATTGAAAGTTCTTTTCCAACAGAAATTTGCTAGATTTTTTTTCTAATTGCGCTTGTAAAATGAAAACAAAGTGTGCCCCAGAATAAAACTATCCTTTGCATGGACGAGGTAGTGTGAGAAGGAGAGGGTCAAATGTCCTGCCCATATTCCTTGTGTTGGATTTTATTCCCCAGGCACCAGCAGCTGCTTATCCCCCAGAAAAGCCTCCAGAAACTATCTGGTCATGACCTCTTTCTGCAGGGGTTCTGGACCCCACCCAGACAGGAACCTGCACATCCACATATGTTTAGAACCAGGGGTCCCGGGTTTTTCTATGGTTCATACCAAACTAATCTTTTTTGTTTGTTTGATGGGATTGGGGGTTGAGCTCAGGGCTTTGCACTTGCAAAGCAGGCTCTCTACCACTTGAGCCACACCTCCAGTTCATTTTGCTCTGGTTATTTTGAAGATGGAAACTCTCCAACTATTTGCCCAGGCTGTCCTTGAACCATGATTCTCCCGATCTCAGCCTCCCAAGTAGCTAGGATTGCAGATATAAGCCACCAACACCCAAACTATTCTTTCTTGAGGGCTCCTCAGACCCCCACACTGCCAGCCAGTTCAAGAATTGTTCTCTTGCCCCCATTATGTCCTGTCTTCACTCCAGACATCACTAATTTGTCCATGGGGGTTCATCCCCCCCCTCCCTGGCCCACTCAAGAATCAGGGGACAATGTCATTGAGACTCACTTCAGCTTGGAACTTTGCAATAGAAGCTCAACACATAAATTGGCTTTAAAAGGACATATCTGTTCTTTTTTTAAAAAATAGGGGAAGGGGGGATAGGAATGTGGCAGAGAAGAGGAATGCATTAGATTTATTTTTACTACCCGAGTTTTTAGTAGTGTTTTGAGGATTTTCTTAACAGCTACAGAATTTTAATAGTGCAATGGAGATAGCAAGAGAAAGGGAAGGAAGGTTTATCGGGGAGGAAAGACAGGGGATCAAGAGCATGCATGGATGTCTATTGCTCGAAGACCAAACAGAACCCCCAACTATACAGAAGGTTGAGATCTCAGACCTTAGAAAGTCCTAACATGCTCCCATTCTAGCTAGACCGCCCCCTCCCCCGCCCCCCCCCCTCTTCCATTGCTGTCTCTCCATTTTCAGCTCCCATACTGAAGTTATGATGTCACCCTTTCTTCTATGACACAGTCCTTTCCTGCCCGGGCCCATCCCTACATCGCAGGGTGAACACCTGTACATTTTGCTAAGTCTTGCCTGCTATCAGTGATTGTCCCTACATAATCCCTCCCCAGCTTGAGTGATCCCCATCCCTCCCTTCCCTGTTAAAAAAAAAATCGTGGGTCCATTTATTCATGCATTCATCAAATATTTATAAGCAGTTCCCAGGTGCTGGGCGATGCTGGGGATTGGGAGGAGATCTGGCCTCAGCCTCCCTCCCGGGAGAGCTGACGGTCTGGACGGGTGGGGCATGGAAGGCTGTGATCACAGAGCCATCAGAGCTGTGATGGAGGAGCACGCGGCACACAGCGAGCTGAAGATACTTAACCCGGCCTGCATATTGGCAGACGACGGGCCTGACTGCTCCACGAGATCCTCCAACCACCCCGCCCACCGCCCAGAGCCGGGCTCGGAGGACCGCCTTCCTGGTTAGCGCCCTTCTCAGACTCAACCCAAGAACCGGTCCTTTATCTGATCCCGCCCTAGCGTTGAGCTGACCACGCCCTTCTCTTAGTCCCGCCCCCACTTGATTTAGCCCCGGTCTCTAGCCCTACCGCCCAGGACCCGAACCTCACACCAGTCTCGTGACCGCATTGGTCAGAGAGTATCAGTTCTCCACCCTCCTACAGTATCATTGGCTTCCTAGATGTCAATCTTCTTCACAGCACTACCTCCCCCAACAGTTGCCAGAGCCGAAGTTTGAGGGGCAGATAATAATGGACATCTCAAGACGTCTCGTAATTGGGCAGAAAGCCCGACTCTGGGAGGGGCTTACTGCCAAATGCTCAGCAGCCTCTGCCTCGGGCTCCTCAGGGCCTCAGCCTTCCTTCAGAGACACACCCCCTGGTAACACGCTATTGGCCTTTCCAGGCGTTCATCAACAGAATTTCTCAGTCCAATAGGCAAAACTACCCGTCCTTCACCGCTTCTCCTCAGGGGCGGCAATCTTCTGACTGTAGCCAGGGACCTCCTCACGGAATGGCCACGGATTGGTCAGATGCTCCGTCACTCCTGGGTAGTGGGCGGAGCCAGAGTGTCTGGGGGCGGTGAATTGGCTGACCGGGCTTCGGGGGCGGGGCAGCGGCTCCTGTCAGCGGGTGAAATGGCAGCGGCGGAGCCGGCGGCGGCCGCGGTCCCTGGGGGCGGCTGAGGGGGCCGGGCCGGGGCTGCGGGGCGAACGGCTCGGTGGGGATCCGGCGGCGCGGCCCGGGACAGCGAGGCTCGGCACGATGATGGCGGCACGCTCGGCGCAGGTAGGGCGGTGCGAGCCCGGCCTCCCGGGCGCCTGATCAGGCCCGCGGCTCCGCGCTGCGGCCCGCGGGGACAGGACAGGACCGCGACTCGGACCGTCTCGCCCCGAACCAGCGCTGGGAGCCTCGGCACTCCCAGCCTTGGACCCTCGGGTCCCGGCCTCCGCCCACCTTCGTTTCGGATCCCTGAACCTCTCCCTAGGAGCCCCACAGGGCTACCCGTACCCCACCGTGTCCCCTCCTCGTGAGGCCCCCGCAGGCCCGGGACCACTGACCACCCTTTCCATTGACCCGTGGGAACCCCTCCTCGGGACCCCCTTCAAAGCTTCCCCATCCCCCACTCTTCAGACTCGCCCTCCACCAGTGGCCCCCCCCAATCCCAGGACCCATAACCACCCTCTGCCTCATCTTCAGAACCCCTCCCATCTGCACGACCCTTGCCATTGCTTTCCCCCACCTCCTCACTTAGCATCCTATCTTCCACCTCTGGCCTTCTCCTTCCTCTCCCCAAGGAGACCAGCCTCAGGGCCTTACCCCTTCCTTCTGACCCCATTGAACCCCTGCCTCCCCTCTTAAATTGAGATTCTCACTACCCACAGGCCTCAGCTCAGCCTGCTGGCCCAGCTCCCTCCCCGGCCCTCCATGCCCAAGGGCACCCCTAAAAAAATCACTCCTCTTGGCACACTTGGGAGACTGTCACTAATCTTGACCTGTCTGGATCCCAGCTTCCTGAAAAATTCACCCTCACTTCATGTTCAGGACCTCCCCACAGAGATCCTGAACCACCTTTCTCCCCATCAGACACACCCTCCCCACCCATCTTTCTGATTAGTCCCAAATACATGCACACACAGTGGGTCACTGAGCCTTCCCCTCAACAAACACACAAAAACTTAGGGGCTCCAACATAGACCCAGACATTTGAGGTCACACACACACACACACACACACACACACACACAAGACTGCTCAGTGCTTCTAGAACACCTCCTTGAAATCCACCAGCCCAGGCCCTCCCAGAATTCCCAACAGTTTCCCCAGCTGAGACAGAGACTCTGTAGATTTTGAGGTGACTGCCTTGCCCCCAGGCAACCATCCTGCCCCGCCCCCACTCACCCTCTCTGAGCTGGCACCCACATTGTGGCCCCTGAGGTTGTCTAGGTGGAGAATCTCTCAGGGCCCTTGTGGCACCTGCCCCAGGCCCCTTCCCCTTATCCATCTCTCCCTACTTTGCCCTTTTCAAAGAGAAGGATGCTATCTCCTACTCCAGGGTCCCAAAAGAAGCCTGCCCCCTGATCTATGCTACCCCACCTTTGTGGGGAAGGAGTGGTTCCAGCTGTTCCCTGGCCCTGATCCTGAAGTCTGACCAGACTGGTAGGGCAAGCATCCTGACCCCATCGTGCCTGCTGGCCTCAGATGGCCCAGTGCTGCTGTCCAGGCTGCTCATCAGGAGTGGCCCCTGACAGTCCTTATGAGTTCTGTCACCCACCACCAGTGTTTAGCCAAAACAAAAGAGCTTCCTACCATCCTGGCATTTGGGATCTGCTGGAGCTGAGTTGGAACCTGCCAGAAGCAGACAATTCTTTGTTAAGGAATATTTTCAGAAGGGAAAAAATGTGCTGAAGAGACTGGGGTGAAACAGGAGGGAATTCTTTCATTGGTTTTCTTCCCCCCTCCTCCCAGACTGGGTGTGACTGAACTATAGTTCCCCATGTCCCTGCCTCTGTCCCTGCCTCTTTCCCATTGGTATTGGATCTATCTATCCGTTCTGCCACCCCACAGCTCTAGTCCTAGGATCCCACCTGTAGGTTCCCTGGACTTCTGTGGTTGACTGCGGGTGGTTTGGAAGGACTCACAGGTGGCTTGGCCTTGGTACAAAGAATGAATGAAGCAAGACAGAGAGGAAAGGAGATCACAGAACTGGCTGGACGCTGTGGTTTAGGACTGCAGGGTGTAAGGAGAAATCCAGATCAATCTAGCCCAGCACAGCCTGGTCATGATCCTTCTGACAACATAAGTATGCCTGGAAAGACCCAGATAAAAAGCCCAGACTTCCTTGTGCATATTCACAAGCAGATTCTGGACAACCTTGAGGAAAAGATTATTTTGGCTCAGAACCTCACTCAACTTTGCCATCTGGAAAATGGGGAAATAAACCCTTAGAATAGCACTTTGTGCTTCAAGAGAGCCAATGAGGTCAGGGTATGGCCCTGAATGTTTCTGAGCACAGTGTAAAAGGGGACAGTCAGGTCTAGGAGAACAGTCACCCACCTATGGGTGTTAGTATCACTGGCCACCCTGGTCCCTGGTCTCACTGGATAATGGCCATCTCTCTAGGTCTGAGCTGCATGCATCTCAGACCATGAGAGATGGTCTGTTGTGGGTTTTGGGCCATGCAGGGACCTGCTGGGAAGACTGAAGAAAGTAGGGTGGGGTTGGGGAACTGCTGGCTGGCCATCCTGATGCCCTACGTAGACCCCTGACACTGGGTAGGAAGAGGTTTATCTTATCCACTTACTGAAGACAGGAGGGGATGAAAAGACTCTTGAAGGTCACATGGCACAAGGGAAACAAACTCTAGAATCTTCCCCCCCCCCGGGGGGGAGGACTTTATTCAGGAGCAGTGGGGTAGGAAGACTCCCCAGGATAGACTGAATTCTACTGAATGCTCTGGAAGACTCCTGGAGAGGGCTTGTGAGTGGTATCAACAGTTTTGCCCTAACCTGAGGGCATGATCCCTGTCCTTCTGTCTGTGCTTTGAGAGGACCAGGAGGAACATATGTTTCAATTTCTTCTTGTAGAAGATAGATACCAATTGTTACAAGTGATGACCCATCTCAATCTAGGGAACAGAGTCAGGTGCTGGGGTACAAAGAAATGTAAAGTCTTATACTGCTACCCTACATCTGTGTCCCTCTGAGTAACATGTGGAGAGAGGTAGAACCAAGTACGCACACTGATCAAGCCCATGCCACGTGCTAAGCACTGAGTCAAGTACCATTTGCATATTATCTCATTTAATCCTCCAAACAACCTGAAGGAGTCAGGATTCCAGTGTGTGCCCTTGCCATCGTGTCCCACTGCAGCAGCAGGGAAGCATGAGACAGAATTATATATGGCATGCTACTGCAAGAGCTCAAAAAAAGGGCCGAGTGCATCCCCAGGGCGTTGGGGAAGGCGAATAGAAGTGGTGACGTATGGATGCAGTCACCAGGCAGGCGTGGTGGAGCAGGGTGTTCCAGGCAGCAGAAGTGCTTGGACGGAGGCCCAGGAGGCAGGAACCCACATGGTTCTTTTGGGGATGTATGTCTTCCTCCATGCCTCATTGGATGGGCTTCATCCTACAGACTTGGATATCCCAAATGTGACACACACAGTGGGCACACACTGGGGCACCCCCTGGTAAAAGGGATTGGAAGTTGGGGAAACTTGGGAAAAGCACAAACTCCATCCTCTCCAGGGAGCACCTTGCTCTGAAAGCCAGACTCAGGCAGATGAAAGAGGGAAGGAAGTGAGTGGGAACTAAGTTACCCTGCCAATTGGGGAAGACACCCATCCCTTTGGTGGAAGATTTCAATGATCCTTTTGGCCCAGTTCACCTGCACTTTAGTTTCGTTTCTCAACATGTCCCCGTGTGCTTTTGAGAACATTTTATTGAGATCTATCTCCCACCCCAGCCTGTGTGCAAAGTCCCACCAGGGCAAGGCACCAGCCTGTTTTTTCACAGTTGAGTCCCAGGAGAGTAAAAGGCACATAGCAGATGCTCAGCAAAGATGTATTTGGTTTTAGGAGCTGATGAGCTTCCCTACTCAATCATTTCTGAAATAGAAGAGGTCAAATCTGTCTGCTTTGGAAGATCCTAAAGGCAAGGCTGGCGGCCTCACACCTTCCCTCTGCCCAGCCCAGCAAGTGTCCACAGCTGACACAGACAACAGAAAAGATACGGCCTTTAAGAGTCAAGGCATTTACAAAATGCTGCTTCTCTTTTTCACCTATCCTTGGAAGGCCTTAGGAGGGCTTTGATTTTCTTCCTTTGTTATGCTCAGGGACACTAAAATATGGAGAAATGAGAGGTTTGCCCCACTTGAACCTGTTACAGTGGCATAGAGTAAGCTGAGGATACAGGATTGTAAACTTATTTTTTTTGTAGGTCAGAAAGGAATCCACAGGTCATAATGGTCCCCAACTCAGGTTTAGCCTGAAGGTATGTGCTGCTGTTATTACCAATAATAGTGATTATAGTTTTACTGTGCTTAATCTTCAAACAGGGTCACCGCATAAGGGGCGGCCTGCTGAGCAGGGGAAATTATTCATTCCACAAACACTGGGCACCTGATGACAGTAGACTGTGGGGACACCATAGTGGGCTATACAGCCCTGCCCTCATAGACATTTCCATCCAGCAGAAATAAATATCATGGGCCATGCGTCATCCTAAACAGAAGACAGGTTGTCATTAGTCCTGTTTGCAAATTTTAAAACTGAGGCAAAGTACTTAGTACCCAAGATCACAAAGGGAGTAGAGGAGGGATTTGAACTCAGGCTGCTGGCTCTAAGGTCTCACCTGTAGCCAACAGATCTGGGGGCAACTATCAGCACTCCAAGGCCAAGGATATGGAAACTTCCCAGAGCAGCATAGAGGAGCAGCTAGAACTAGAGAGTGACAGTGTGGCCTAGTGGTACATACCTATAATCCCAGACTTGAGAGGAGGAGACAGGAAGATCAAAGCCAGCTCAGGAGACATAGTAAGACCCTGTCTCAAAAAAAAGGAGGGGGGGAGAGAAGGAGAAAGGGAAAGGAAGGAGACCTGGGAGACTGGGAAGTAAGAGGGGGACAGACAGGGACCTCTGAATTCCAGCTCACTCATTGGTTGCCCACCACTTGCCAAGGAAAAGGACTTGAAACACTAGACCAGGCCATTGCCCCAGGAGCTAGGGACAGCCTGCACAGTGGTGGTCTGCCGGCCAGGCTGGGCAAATTGGGGTCAGAGGCATCTTTCAGG